AAAGTGAAAACAGACATAACATGTCCACTACATACATTTAAAAATCCCTATAGTGCTGATGTACCAGAACAGAAATCTGTGCCCGCTGCTGTGCTCCAAGACTATGCACAGGTTCGGTATGCCAAAATAATGTTTACATATAGCAAGCCTTCTAAAATTGAAAAGGTTATTCTAACCTTGCGTAACGAGCACCTACGTGGTCGCTTTCAGGCTGAAGGTGCCTGTGTGTTATTCTTGTATGGCCTTTGTGAATTCTTGTCAGTATGGCCTTTTCTCTATTCGAATTTGCGCTTAAAATATTAAAGTACGCCGGATGAATGTCAGACATGAACTAATTTCTTTTTAATCAAATATTTCTTTTGGTCTAGTAAATATTTTCATTGCAATAGATTGATGTCCAGATGATTTATTTACCTCAATGGCTGTCATAATTATTACTAAAGGCACTTTCTGCTAAAAATGAGTACAAGAACAATCTCAACAGTTTTATAGCAGAGTTAAAGTTATTAGTTTTTTAAAACTTGTAGTGTAACTATACTGAGAGACAAAAAAGTGGCAACCATCCTTTTTTTATATCGTAAATGCTTGCAATCATTATAATTGTTGTTGTTGTTGTTGTTTACTGGTTGTTTTTAAATAAAAATATAAGACAAGGCTAAATAAAATGTTTAAATAAAAAATTAAACTGAGAAAAAAATTTACCAAAAAATGTTGCTATGGAAACAATGAAGAAAATATTCAATTTAATGTGGAGTGACTAAATAATGACTAAATATGTTTATGAGGTTTTGAAAGTTGTGCTGTGGAATATTTTCATTCTCCTGCAACAGCACCATTCTTAATTCTTGCAAATTCTCTGGCATTACCGGGCGACTTTTTACCCTTTTTGACAACTTGTCTCAAAGGTGTTCGATTGGGTTTAAGTTGGGACTACATGCTGGCCACTTCAAATATTGAATTGAAGCCCATTCCAAGCAGTTACCAGCTGTGTGGTGCCTTGCACTAGCTTGCAAGAAAATAAAACCATCGCCAATTAGTAGATTTTTTTTTGATAACGCGTTTAATGTATGTATGAAGATCAAGTTTGTTCGACCCTTCATAGAAATGTCTGCCCAAAGCCTTACACCACCATCTCCAAACCTTCTCTGGAGTGACAATATTGCGGGGATATATTGCTCTCCAGTTCTTCTCCAAACCATCTCTCAGCTGCCAGAAGACCTAACACAAAACTTTGACTCATCCGAAAACAAGACTTTAGTCGAATCTTGCTCTGACCAATTGATTTCTTGTGAAACATAACTGAGCTTTTCTTTGCTTTGTCAGAAATTCTGAACCAGTGGCAAGCCTTCTCACGTGTAATCCAGCTTCTGAAAATCTTTGCCTTTCAGTTCCTAAACTGACAATAACGTTTCTAACTTGATGAAGTCGTTTCTTGATCCCAACAATGGTAGAAAGATCTTCTCTCTCTGAGATGTGACATGATAGCGACCTTCATGATTCTTGAATACCTCCAGTATCTTGGTTGCGATGGACAATTGTTCCCTTCGGATAATTGTTCTGGGAATGTTAAGCTCCCTGGCCACCATACGCTTGACTTCTTCAATGGTCCAACAATGCTGAGATTCTAGCCAAATCTGTATCACTTAAAACCATCACTCAAACAAATTTGAAAATTAAAAATGGTACAACTTAAAAAAATCAAACCACTGGAACATTAGAAAGAAGCTTTATAGAAAGACCATCAAAGAAAAGATTGACTATTCAAAGATTTTGTCTGTGTTGTATTTACCTCCAATCCTTTAAAATGGACCAACTATTGTTTTAAGATAATGGAGGGTTGTCCAAAGAGATAATTAAAAATATAAAGGGCCACTTTTTTTTTTGCTTCTTGGTATCTATAACTATAAAATTATCAGTGTATATAACTTATCCTCCTATCAATTGAATGATGTACGGAAAAAAAAAAAATATGGCCCCATTGAAAATATTTTCTTGTAGAATTTATGCCAACCAGTGAATTGTTTTCAAGGCTCTTAATTTTAAGAGATCAAAAACGGTCAAATTTTCATTATTATTGAAGTGAATTTTTTTTTGTAAAAGTACTTCATTTTATATTATTGAACAAACCCATCCTAATGTCCTATTCTTAATTGTTCTTTTATTTACTATCCTGTTGTACTCTTAACCATTTCAATTAATTTTGAGTACTAAATTTCTATAATACAACAATAAACAAATGGGAGGTGTCGGTGGCTTCAGCGGTTATGGTGCCGACACAGCCGCTCATCATTGTAAAGTAAAGGTCCCAGGCTCAAATCCAGCAACAAATTTTTTTTTTTTTTTTTTTTTCAAAAACACCGGCACCCCAATGGTTATTATATATGACCTCTGCTGTTATGAACCCTTGTTTAAAAAAAAAAAAAATTGTTAATGGAATTTTCTTGCCAATCATGGAAAAAAAATGTTTGTCAGAGCGATAAAATATATGTACACAATGTAAATAAAAGATTATTTTTTAATCAAATGTTTAGGAACAAATGTTTCCAAATAAATCGTTAAAGGAAGATTAAGAAAAATACGTAAATATGTACACTGCAATGTAACTATGACATCTTTTCATTTAATTTAAAATAAATTGGTGATTTATTCATATAAGGTATGGCAAGTACATGATGTTAACCTATATATTGATCTGGTTATAAAACACTGATTTTTATTACAAATTTCTTAAGTCTAAACTCTCTTGTATACAGATATTCACAGCCAATTTCCACAAATTTAGAAATTCCAAAAAAAAAAAAATAAATTCAAACTGATACAAGCAGAATGCCAAAATTTTAATCCCAAACTAACTTATATGAAAGATTCTATATAATGTGTAGAGATTAGTGACTGTTAATCGATAGTTATTCAGATATCGTAAGATGCGGTCGGGTGTGATGTAGGTTTCAGAAAAACATTTTCTTTATCGTGCCAACGTTTCGATCTTTTATTGAGATCATCTTCAGGGCCTGGGATTTACAAACAATGTTTACATTTAACAAATACATTTAGGATGTGGAAAAGTGAATTTATACAATGCAAAATATATTTTATATTCAAACACACAGAAGACAAACACTTTGAGTGAGTAGAAATACTTTGTTTGAATATAAAATATATTTTACATTGTATAAATTCACTTTTCTACATCCTAAATGTATTTGTTAAATGTAAACATTGTTTGTAAATCCCAGGCCCTGAAGATAATCTCAATAAAAGATCGAAATGTTGGCACGATAAAGAAAATGTTTTTCTGAAACCTACATCACACCCGACCGCATCTCACGATATATGAATAACTATTCTATATAATATGTCAGTTCGAATTTGGAACAAAATTCAAGCTTGCTGCGTTGTCTGTATAATATTTAAATTGCATGGAATGTTCATTTTGACCATATTCATGCAGAATGTGTACAACAGATTTATTAAAACTATATTTAGGATTATTGAAACTTACTTTTAACTTTAACTTACTGACTTATTAGACAAATTGGTTTACTAATTGAAGATACTTTTTTCTGATTTGAATGTAAATTTCATTTGTTAACGGCTTTACACTTACTTTTGTAACACCATCTTAATATTCTATTAAAAGTAAAATTAAGGAAAGATTTTTGTTTCAAATTGTGCCATATTTTACCAGTTGATTAAGAGGTTGATGCATTTGGAGATAAGCGTACTCGTTTACATCATATGTACACAACACTAAAATGAGTAATAAAAATGCCATTGACTCTTGAGCATTGTAATCTATGCAACAGGCATGAAATAATGTTTAGGTTTTCTCATTCAACCTCATTGAACTTTATTTTAATGCTATTGCTTATGATGCATAACAGAGAAATTTTTTAAATGTTTAACAATGTGAGTAAAAGCAATAAATTATTCTGTTTTTACACCCAAATGCCTTTTGATGCATGGTCAATGGTCAGACCAAAATCCAATACCTGTAATTGTCATAAGCTTGTAGGTAAGCTTTAATATTAAATACGTAATATTAATAAAATTTAATTAAAGATTTATAGATCATTTAAACTATTAATTATAATTTGAGTCATCATTTTTTTTAAGATGGTAATAATTAAATAATCGTACATCATGCTATTGCTATTTGACACTGCTATTTACTTTATTTGTTAGTTGATATTGAATGCACTTATAATTTGAAGTGATTCTTTCAATTTAAAATGGTTTTGTTTTGATAATTGGATTTTTTTTTCTCAAGATTTAACACTTTCAAACTAAATATTTACCTTCGCCTGAGGAATTCTGATGATTCATTCAAAAGATGTAGACAAGGTTATTTTAAAATTTTACAAGAATAACTCTGCTCTACTTGCTGGAAGTTTTGTTATTTTTCACACACACACAAAAGAAGCAAATTGAAAGTTTTAATTAAACATAATTAAAGTAATTTTTAAAATTATATTTCCTATTGTTGAGCTCATTTTCATTAAATAGCCTAAGATTTTTTTATATCCAACTTTCAAACAAACTCTGAGTGTATCATTTTATAAACAAATCATAATGAAGTTAGTTATTAAGTAAATTGTTTATTGACTCATTTGACCTATTCACAGTTTTTTAGTTAATTGTTAAATGACCGAGATACTATAAATTGGTGCAGTATGCATTCAACAAAGGTTCCTGTATAAACCGTTTAGCTAAAGGTCAATTGTGTCTGGTTAAATGTCATAGAGGCAATAAAAACCTTGCAGTTTCATCTCTCAGTGGCTCCACTTAAAATACAGATATACTTAATATTTATACAGATTTCTTACTACTTATACAGATGTTCTTTCTGCAGCTATAAATGTTACTTATTAATTCATTTGACAATCGAATAATATGAAAACTCATAATTGGTACCGAGTAATAACTTGTTTTAAAATAATAAGAAAGTTTTTATTAGATAAAAATCTAATCATTATAAAATGTTTCATGCTTGCTCTTAGAGGAAAAAATTGATGAGAGTGGTATGTATTATAATTATTAAATATAACTCTTTGTTTTAAATGAAACTTGATTGTTCTTCCCGTACACATTTTTTTTTGTTTAATCTAATATTTTATGGACTCGCGTGTCCCTGGCTTTTTTTCTGATCAACCTTAAGATAAGTCACATAAGTCACTGATTAGCTTTGACAGTTTTCCTAACACCCCCCTCCCATTCTTTGTCCTTGTGCTGATTGAAATTATGCTTGCAGGAAAGACATATTGCCAATGCTGTAAAAAGAAGTGTACTGGCCCTGTGCTGAAAGTTCAAGAAAAATATTTCCACAACGACTGTTTCAAATGTGTTGGTAAGTGTTCAAAAATGATATTAAACTTTACATTGTCTTTGTTTTTTTTTTAAATTTTTTATCGTTAGATTCTGCTGTGAATTACAAAACAAAGATAAAAAGACCTTGATTCAGCATTTCTTTTAACAAAACGTTTATTTCGTTTTATCAGTTTTTTGTTGTCATTAATTGAAAGATATCCTAGGATAGGCCACTTGTGAAAACGAGATTAACCTCAATTCTCTACATCCTTATTAAAGGAATTTTCTTTTAGAATTTTTTAATTGTGATTTTTGTTTTTAGTTTGTAAAAAATCCCTCGCAAAGGGCGGCTTCTTCTGCAAAGACGATGCTTATTATTGCACGGAGGATTATCAGAAGAAACACGGCACAAAGTGTGCCACTTGCCAGCAATACGTTCAGGGTGAGGTTGTGACCGCCCTTGGCAAGACTTACCACCAAAGCTGTTTCACTTGTGCCAACTGCAAGTGAGTTAAATATCACAACAAAACATTAAATCAAATTAGCAAAAATATTTATACATTTTTGATTTAATGATAAATTTGATCTTGTTAGTTTGACAAAATGAATTAATGTAGAGAATTAATCTTCAAGAACAAGAATTCCCGATTTTCTTAAAATCTTTATTTTTATTTTTTCAATATCGATTTCAGGGGCTTCTGCTTTCCCTTCTCTTTAAGGAAATCCCCCATCTATTAAAAGAATTCTTGTTCTTGAAGAAAAACCTACATTGATCCAGCCTGTAACACAAGAAAGAATTAATGTTCAAACATAATAATAAAAGATAATTTATTTTTAAGGCAAGCTTTCCCAAGTGGTGAGCGAGTGACTTACACTGGTAAAATAGTGTTGTGCTCCAAGTGCAGCAATTTACCCGAAGAAAACAACACCCAATCTGCGTCAATCACAGGTTTTTATTTCTGTCAAAGTTTCAAGCATTTCCACGTCTTTGATTACGGTCACAGATAAATACGAATTATTTTTCAGAGTGCAGTCGCTGTTTTGGAGAACTTAAGGAAGGCCAGGCAGTGATTGCTCTAGACCGTCAGTGGCATGTTTGGTGCTTCAAGTGTACCGTCTGTGGAGTTCCTTTACATGGAGAATACATGGGAAAGTGTGTATTTCATGTTGTGTTTTAACAGGCAGTTTGTAACTTTTTATTATTATTTTTTAAAGAGATGGAGAACCTTATTGTGAGAAGGATTATCACAAAAATTTTGGTGTGAAATGTGCATACTGTAGTAGGTTTATTTCTGGTAAAGTATTACAGGTTTGTTTCTTATTTTATGCAATTGTTTTATTTTCAACTGAAACGAGGATTATATTTTGATATTACTGTTTAGGCCGGTGACAATCATCACTTTCATCCAACTTGTGCCAGGTGTACAAAATGTGGTGACCCGTTTGGAGACGGAGAAGAAATGTATTTGCAAGGTAAATCGAGAAAACAAATTACAACATGTAAATAAATATTACAGCCTCCCGTAGGCATGTTGGGTTTAACAACTGTAATCGGCCTTGCCCGTTAAGATCTTATCAACATTTCACACAATAGAATGAAAGGTGTTCATAATCAGATCCAGGATATGACTAATGCTAAAATAATAATATTCTGGAATTTGACTACCGTTTGCAAAGATTTTGGCATCAAGCCAGAAAGCGTATTTGCAAAGGGACCAACAAAATGTTATTTTCAAAAGAACGTATAGATTGTATCAGGCGTTAAAAGCCAATTGTTTACTGTTAGTAGTCTTAGTTAAACAGGAGAATACCTCTGTCATTCCTTTTACCATTTAATTTTAAACAAGGCACAAAATCGAAAAAAAAAAAGTAAGTTAAAAACAAGAAAAACAAATGAAATTCATCTTAAATAAATTAAAAAAAAATTTTTTTTTGTTAATTTATAAATTTATTTAGGAATTGGTTACTTTAGGCAGTTGGTTTCTGATAGAACTGTGCTTTTTAAAATCTCACAATCATAAAATAATTTAACATAAGTTAAAATCCAACGATGAACTAGATTATCGACCTGCTGGATACAAGAAGTCTTTTCAGAGGATCTTCGGAAGAGGTCAAAACAGAGAAAACTTCCTTACGGTTTTCGTCGAGCTTTCGACAGTTTTATACTGTCATCTTCAGGGCCTGTTTTATTATCATATAAACAAACAATTAAAACATGAAAAAACAATAATTACAACAATAATTGAATATCTTACTTTAAAACCTTAATAGGAAATTAAACAACATGGTGTTTTGGGCACAGAAGTACATTATGTTTTTTGGGGCTCAGCATCTAAACATTAATTTAAATTGAATACATTAATAATTAAAAATTATAGCTAAAATTACAGTAAAAATAAAAATTAAAAACGTGGTCGAGAAAGGTTACCTCATATAAGTCTAAAAAACCAATAAAATCCTCCTTTTTTTTTCAATAAGTTAAAATCCTTTTAAAAAAATAGTTCGTACTCACAGTATTTTTTTTCAACAATCTGGATTTCGAGCCCTTAGCTCATCACCAGAAGGAGTTCTACAACCTGATGATGAACTATAATCTCGAAATCCGGATCGTTGTAAACAACTTACTGTGAGTAGGAACTATCTTTTTAAAAGGATTGAACACCGCACTCAATCCACCATTCATCATTTCTATAAAGGTTATAATTATTTATTTATACTTCTGATATGCGGGGGATTAGTAAATAAATATGTCACAATAAAACAAACAAATTCGTTTGTAATTTATATATATAAAACAGTTCCATAACTGCCTGCCAAACAACGCACAGACCAAACCGCTGGATCTGTAAAGGGCTGAAATTTCGAAAGTGAATTCCTATAATGACACGGATAGCCACTAAGAAAGGATTTTTTGAAATTTCATCCTAAGGGGATCAAACGGACAATTTTTTTACCATGTATAGACCAGTAAGAACTGAAGGAGAGAAGAATTTGAGAAACAAGTTATTAGAAAGACATACTAACACTGCATTGCATTAGAAAGGTACATTAAAACATAATCCCGCGTGGACAAAGTCACGGGTAAAAGCTAGTGTTATATTTTTGATCTATTTGAGGTACAATTAAAGTACAGTTGTTATTTATTTTTGTATTGTATTATACAAGTGTACACAATGAAATTCATTAACAACAATAAAAACTAAATTTGATAGTTGATAATATGTTAAGGTGATCATTAATATGTACAACAAAATGATGTGAATCGGTTGGAAAGAGTAGTAATAATCACAAACTGGTTTTAACAGCTATCTGGATTTTGAGCATTATTTAATCGTCAAGCTTAATTGTACAAACATGTTTTTCAACATGAATTGGATGTGATTTATAAATCTACTGCCCCAAAGAACAGCTAGTTTTTTAATCCAACTCAGTTGAACGGCAACCAGCTGTTCTTTGGGATGGTGGATTTATAAGTCACGTCCTACAATTGAAAAATATGCTTGTACATTTAATGCTCGAAATACGGATAACTGCTAAAACCAATTTGTGAGTAGTACTATCCAACTAGTTAATTGGTATGCTCACTCCACCTCAATTATTAATACTAACTGCAGTTTTGTAGCTATATTCTTTTTTCTTAAGAAAGTGTATGTATATTAATTTACTTTCTTCAGTCAAAGATAAAATTTTAATCAATTTAGGTACTGCAATCTGGCATCCCAAATGTGGACCTGGTCCTCAGACTGAACAAATGGCAAATGGGCATTCTCACAGTGAGATAGACCGAATCAGTAATAGTGACATTCCGGTAATTCTATTATCTATCATCTATTAGCTTTCATAAATTGATAAATTTTCACATGCCATTACGACTTAAAGTCATGTATTTTTCTATTTTGTTTTTAACTAATTACCTATGGTATGGTTTTCTTCCTTTTTATTTGTTTATAATCACATTTTCATAAATAAAAACTAAGCCATAATCATTTTACATGTTTTCATTTATAATTTACAAGTGCTGTTTTGCTTCACATCTTCAGCAATGCGAAATTGTGTGATCATTTGCACTTTGAATTGTGTTGTGTTACAGCTCTCACTACATTCTCATGGCACTAGCTTGAATGGCTCTATTTATGGCATTGACAAAAAGGTAAATTCTCATTAGCTTTTTTTGTGAAGTTTGTGGTCAACTTTTGTTAGAATAATTTGAACATTGGGTCTGTTTTTATTCACATTTGTTTTTCTTTCAGCGAGCTGGCAGTCCAGGATTATTGCTAAGGGAGTATAAAAAGGGTGACTACACTGATATAAGTCGAATATATACTTATAGCTACTTAACGGAGGAGCCGACGCTTGGATATCTGAAGAAGCCAATTGATCCGTACGACAAGAAAATGACGACATCACCTCATTTCCACAGGCCTCAACGTAAGTTCCGTTCTCGTTGGGATAATAAAGGGAGTCCAATTTGAATTTATTTTTAGAAGGAAGAGGCAGCCTTAGAGGAAGCGGTAAGTGGTCCAGGAGTGGGGCAATGACTGGCCTCGTCGAGTCTCTTGCAAGAGATAGGCCGAAATCACCTCATATGAATAACGAAGAGCCCATTGAACTCGCCCACTTCCCAGACGCACATCCGCCTAAGCCAACTGACAAGCCTAAGATTGAGAGAGATGACTTTCCTGCACCACCTTATCCTTATACAGACCCAGGTAAGCAAAAAACAATGAGTATTAAACAAAAATCTATCTATATTTAACCCCTTGCCTTACAAGTTTTTTTCTGAAGTTTGTTACAAAAATCACCTATTTTTTAAATTAGCAATTGATATTTTTTATGGCATGTAAAAGTTCTTTCATATTTTTTAAAATTTGATTTTATTTATGTACCAATTTGACATATCAATTGTTTAAATTTTTTTATCAATGAGGGTATTTCAACTATGAATCCTTGGGTACTGGTGTTTTTGAAAAAAAAAAAAAAAAAAAATTGTATGTCAGGTTTAAATTCAGGGCCACTGCATTTGAACCTAGGACATTATTCAGAGGTGAGTGCCCTGTCAATGCCTAAACGGTTGTGGCCACCGATGCCCCTCAAAATTGTTTAATTATTATCATAAGTTAACCAGGGCAGTCAAAAAAATAAAAAATTTGCAATTAAAATACAGTAGACTCTTGATTAACCGACATCCGGTTATCCAATTTTCGGGTTAACCGAGTTAAAATTTTCAATAAATGTTTTCGGATTAACCAATGCTAAAACCACAGATAACTCCTAGTAATCCGAGATTTTAAAAAAAATTAAAAACGCGTGTTAAATATATATGTAAACTAAACTAATAAAACCATCTAATCCCCAGTCGTGGGAATAAGTACAAATATTTTCTTAGAAGCTGTAATGGCATCATTACGATAATATCCGGTACTGGTAATTTCCTAGATTCTCCTACTCAGCTTTTTAGTTTTCTCTTATTTTATGTTTGCACATACTTAAGTATAAAATTAAACATTGAACAGTGTATGTAAGTATAAAATGGCTGAATGCGAAACCAAACAAAAATGGGTTTTGACTAAAAAAAAGGCAATTTAACTAGCTGGTAAAGGGGCTAGTGGCCAATTGCCGTCGCTGGGTTCTACACCGGCCTACCGGAAGTTAATGAAGCCTCCAGAGGGCCCATTGACGAATGAGGCTATCTTTTTGTGGTTTGTTCAACAGAGGAGCAAAGGAATGAGTATTTCTGGTCCGATTATCAAAGAACAAGTCATGATCTTAGCTAAAAAAATTTCCCACCGATATTGAAAAATTGCAAAGTGAAGGTTGGTTATGGTAACAATATATGCAAAATAAACATATTTTTGTGCAAAATGCGTTTTTAATTAATTTTCATTTTATTTTATTTTTTTAATAGTCAGAGTATCCGAATTTTTCAATTATCCGAGGTAGGTCTGATACCAACCACCTTGGTTGATTGAGAGTCTACTGTATGTATGTATTATTATTATTATTATTATTTACAAATGTGAAAACATTTATTATAATATAGTGTACAAGTAAATGAATAAAAAGTAATAGCAAATCAAAAGAGAGTCAAAGTTGAGAATGGTGTCTTGAAGCATGGTGTCACATATAAGGCCACTTGTCAATCAAGGCAGAAGTATGGTGATATGATGGTCTCATTTTTCTACTTCATACTGCGCATGTCCTAAGATCGGCTGACAGATTCGGAAAAATTGATAATCTGAATCACTTTCTCAGTTACTACCAGCATCATTCATTTTATGAAAAAACAAAAAATTTGGACATTTGGCGCAAAATAAACACAACAAGATTTCATAAAAACCATTCTTTTCGTTTTTAGTAGCAAAAATTATGTTTGCTAATATCTACCGGCGGTAGGTCCTATTAAAAGAGATGTGTGTGTAATTGTAAAGAACTACAATGAAACTATCCGGGATAAAATCTAGAATTAAGAAAAAACAAATTTAGCTCGAGTTAACTTGGTTTAAAAATTGAACATTGCCTCCTTTAAAAGAAGTTATCACATAATAGTAAGGCAGGGGGTTAAAGTAGTAAAAATTGGAGAGACAAAAAACCAACGGATTTTCACCGTTAAAAAAATGTTTTAATGTATTTTCTAAATTGTTTTTCTATTTAATAAAGAGGTCTGGGAGATGTCTATGGGGCTAAGAAAAAGTCAGTCAAATTTAAAAATTAAGATACCTTGAAAGATTTTAATTGTGAATTAAATTAACTAGTTTCTTTCTTTCTTCTTCCATTCCTCCTTCTCTATCACTCATATTTTTCCTTGCTCATTTCCTATTCTCTAAATATTGTTTCCTCAGTTTGTGTTTTTTAAATAGTTTTTCTCCTTTTTCTATTCTCTTTTCTTCTATTCTACCCTCCTCCCTTTCCCCATTATTAAATGGTGAATATTGCTTGAAAAGTTTAAGTTTAGGTTTTGCCATGCTGAGGACAAAGTAAAAAAAAAATTCCTGATATTAATGTTTAGAACGGAGGAGGAGGTGGTCTGATTCTTACAAAGGCATGGTGGAGTCCGATGAAGAGGAGGATGTGGTCGACGCGACTGTAACGAAAACGAAAGTGACCACTGTAGATGCTGCAAAACTCAAGGTATAACCTAACGAATTACCTCTGTTTTGCACTTTTACATTAAAACTTTTTAGAAGGAGGAGGCAGAGCTTTCAAAGCTGAGTTCTGGCATGGGAAAGGTTTTCTTAGCCAATGTCAAAGAGCGGGAGAGGGTGATGCGCCAGAGGCAACTCGACCCGAGAAATGCTTCTAGGTCGCCGTCAGCAGCCTCACAGCCATCTCATAGACTTAGATACCAAAGCCCAATTAACGCATGTAAGTGTTAAATTGATTCCAAATTCACTACATTAAAATAATGATAAATAAAAAAATGCCATGAATTCTTAATGTTTTATTTTATTTTATTTTTTATATATTTTTATGTAAGGGTTAATTGTTTAACATTCTTTTCTTATTTTGAGCACTTGTTTTCATTTTCATTTTTGCACACTTCACCATGCTTATTGTGTTTTGCAGCACTTCAAACAATAAGAAATAATTCAAATTGTACGAATTATTTTAATTAGATTTTAGAAAATTAAAAAACCTGGTTCAAGAATTGAGAGGGTCCCAAGACTCCTGTTTTGTTTTGCCGGTTTTGTTGTTGTAACTAAAGTGACTTTGCAGCCCCTTCGAGGAATTTAGATGCACCTAGGCCCTGGGATGATGATGAGACATTAGACAGGTGCTCGAGCTACAGGTCCTCAGTTGGGAGGTCAATACCAACCATACCGACATACAATGGTAATTATCGATGACCTCTCCAAAATACAAGTGCAGTTAACAACACACAAAGATTATTGAAAAATTCAGATAGATAGATCAATCATTTATTAAGTTAGAAAAGATTAAATAGGGCTTTGTTTACAAGGGGGTACAAATGTGGGATCACCTCGGTAGTGAGTAAAGACCTCCCACACCCTTCCCTTCCTGTTCTCATCATCATGAATCACTTTTTATGATTTTCCCTACCAAAAGGATATCAGTTCAAATCATTTGCTTTGAAATTCATTACATAATGTATATTAATCTATAAATTAGGAAGGGGGCAGGCAGCGGCTGAGGCTAAAGGCACAAGAACATGTTTTAGCATACAAAATTTTTTCTTAAAAAATGATTCAACTTAAAACCATATAACCTATAAATAATGTCATAACATTGCCTTCAAATAAATTATAATTGGAGATATAAAGTAAAACATTTGAAGATTTTGATGTTTATTTAGTCAGCTATAAAATTTTTTATTAAGGGGTTTAAATATTACTTAAAATGAATCATAATCATAAAATCATAATAAAATCATCTGCATATTATGAAAAAAAAATCATGACATTGAAGCACATAGACAACAAAGAAAAAAACATGCATTACAAAAAAATTATGTAGATGTAGATTACTTAAAATATTATTGTTTTAGCTCCTTGGGAAGAATGCTTGAATGCATATCTAGTATTTTTCAACCTTGTATCACAAAAAAAAAAAAAATAAAAAAAATAATTAAGAAAAGTTCAGTGATCCCACATTTGCCCTCCTCCATGTCGGTACACAAGACCTTTTAAATTGCTTGTTTTCATTGTTTTATGTTTATACTCTTGTTCCTTATTAAACATTAGTTAAACAGAAAAACTACACTGAAAAGTTATTGCCCTAATTTTTTCACTGTCATCTAAAAACATTTAAATAAAAATAAACGTTCAGTCAGAGATTGGTGTGAATTGAGTAAAATAATGAAAATATTAAAGAAAAACGTGTGTTTATATAAATTAACTTATTTTCATTGCTGTAGTACACATTCAGACATGTTCACTGCACTTTGTTTTATTTTGTCGTTAATTATTTAAATCAAAGAAAAAGTTGTATATATGTACGACTTTTTATATTATTTATTATGTATTTATATAAATTGTATTTTGGATTCTGTAATATTCTCTTCTGAACTGTAAGTCTAGAGCATGATTTGTGCCTTATTTAAAAGCTTTATTATATTGAAAAGCATGGACTGAAATGATTAAAATTAGCATGTTTCAGTAACTTTTTGGTTAGTTTATAAAAGGATGTGTTTATGTTAAATCACGTAAGCATTTAATTAGGAATCATTATTAGTTTTAATTTTAGTAGAGGAAAAAATAACAAAGGTCTTTATTTATTAATAAATTAATCACTTAAAACGAAACTTTTCCAAAAAAGAAACTTGTAATTATGCCTGTAGAATTTCATGTAGTTTTATGCCTAACTAACAAACCTTAAATTTTTCTTTCCTAAGATCTTCCTTCGACACCCAAGTTTTCTATTTAAAATTGAATGAATAAATGTTTATGAACAATGAAAATGTATAAAAATTCTGTGTTTTTTATTTATTAATTAAAACAAGTATGCGTAGTGTGTTTGCAGAATGGGAATATAATTACATTCAAATATTCATTTACAAATATGTATCTACTATTTGTTTTGTGACTAAGATAATTAAGTTTGGTTTTTTCTAATTTCAAAAGTATTCATGAAAATATATTTCTCTTTCATTTTTACAAAGCATAAATTAAACGTTGAACTCAGATAATTAATGTATCCATAAATTAAACAATTCAAACTTAACAATAAGTGTCAAACGTTTTATTGAATCTTTTTAAAAATTAAGTAAAATATTTATTCATTTTGGAAAGTTGGTTTTTTATTTATCGAAGTTTGCATCTGGACATTATCTTATAATAACCGTCATCAAAGCTCATCACTCTGAAACCTTAACATAATTACATTGCAATGCTGTTATGCTATTCTGGAACAAACTCATGGTAAATTTCTTTCAAAATTTTCAAACAAGTGCTTCCCCCCCCTCAAATTTCCTCTCTAGTAGAGCAGGCTGACCACAGTCCAATATCCCAAAATATTTTTAGGAGCAACATGTTGAAAACATTGTAAGTTGCTAGTTTTATTGTGTGAAATTTGTCTATACGCTCTTTTCACTTTCTCTATTGTGTGTGAGGGCAATTCACAATTGACTCTGATTAACGAAATGAGTTTTTTTCATTATAGAAATATCTTTTTGAGCCCACCCCTATTTATTTACGATAAAGTAGATTAAAATGATATTAATTGAAATAAATAGCAATTTTATGAAACCAAACTCATCTGATATGGATTCAATAATAATTAAAAGCTGTAGATGGCCTTTGCATTGCATGTAATACTTCATATTTTTTAAAGAATATATTTTTACTTTTTTTCCAGAATAAAGTATGTTATAATAATAATAAAAATGAAAAGTGGAAAAACTGTTTCCTTAACCTAATTATTAGTGTAATATAAAATTAATTGTATGTATATATTATATAAATATATATCAACTGGGATGGTTTTTTAGTATTTAAGTCTTACAAAATAATACAGCAGATCCTCAGTTAACGTCATTCCCCCCCCCCCCAGCACAATTTTAGTTCATGGTTCTCGAAAACCATTTCTTTTAATTTTTATAAACACTTTAAAAAGTGCTGTCGTAGCAGTCGGCTGTTGATTTTTATTCATATGTATACATAATCGGATAATCCTCAATTAAGATTGTTTCATTTAACATTGCTGTTTACAGGTCCCTAACCATGATGTTAATCGAGGATTTACTAAATAGACAGTTAATCCTTTTCTTCAATGTTGGTACAATTTTCAGTCTGGATTGTTGTTTTGCTCGAACTAAACATAATTTTTTTAAATTTTTGAATGACTTATTTGCAATGCATTTTGAGCCACCTCGTTGGTCTCTCTCTTCAAATTGGTTAACAAATAACTTAGAAATGTGGCCGAAATGTATAGCTAATAAAATATAAGTAATTTAAAACTTTGTGTTTAGTTCAAGAAAAGCAACATAGACTGATAATACAGACAAGGATTTCTTTGTTGCAATATTTGATTAGTAAATGGCTAATGTATAAACATTCCGAGATAGTTGAAGATCAGACTTGAGATTTATGTATTGCTTAATTCCTATGCATTTTTTATTCCACTAGAATTAGAAGCTATAATCAAAATAAAAAATTTTCAATTTGTACAGTTCTTTCTATTTGATCTTTCATACTATGTATTTATTTTACTTTTTGTACTTTTGTAAAAAAAAAATTAACATTAATTTACCTTATATAGTGACTTCTATGGGTGTTTAGATAATAGAATTTTAAATAAGCTATGTAGAGGTAAGTTGTTTTTGAGTGTGGTTTTTAGTTTTGGGGTGTTTTTTTATTCTTGAATTTCACATATAGTTGTAGAAAAACTGCAAATATGCTTTGGCAGCTTATTAACAATTTACTTCATGGCTTTCAAACAGTTTTGTTGTACAAATCTTTAGCTCTGGCTGCTGAATTACTGACGATGTTTGCCCTTCAGATTTCACCATATCTTTTTTTTTAATTTCTACACTTTTTTGTTTTGTTTCATTTCACTTGGTACATTGCATGGTTGGACCAACGAAAGCAATTACATATTTCTAAAAATTTTTATTATTCAGTAATTAGTAAGTTAGTCATGGTTTATTTGCAAACAGATTAGAATGTGATGATTAAATTTAATTTATATTTTCTTACAATGAATATTTTTATAAATAAACTTTTTAGAAATGAAAGGATTTAGAATGAAAAATATAACACTTTTTCTTTTTATGTAATTGTTTTACTTTGCTTACTTTAATTTTTGTTGTAAAACAATTAAACCATTGACAAATGTACCAGGTGGCTTTTGTTTTATTAAACAAAGTAGTAGCTGTAGTTGTTTTTGCATGTGCAGTCTATTCGTCACGCGAGTTGCCCATGGGGAAGTCATCAACCCTGCCGCCTATGATGTCGGCGAGGTACATGGTGAGTCCTAGGTTAAGGCTATTGAAGGCTCTGCCTGTAACTTCTTAGAAAACCCCGGGTCTGTGTATATGTTACAGTTGTCAGCTCGCTGAGACAAGTACCAAAACCCGGGTACGGCCTGGCGCCAAGGTCACACACCTTCAGCTCCACGACAGTAAGTCTTGTGGCTTTGTTGTGTGGAAGCACGGATTGATATTTGTTGTTTTTCAATTTTTCTCATAGATTCATTTTCAAAGCTCTGCATTTTAGTTTGCCAGTTGTAGTAAAATGTTAATAGTTTTTTTAATATATATTTGTACATTGTTATATTCTGTAATTAATTTTTGAAGAATGATTTGTGATCTTGGAAGCCAGCCATTTATTTAATGCTTTATTTTCATGTAACATGAGCAATCAAGTGCTTAATGGTGCATGGAAGTACGATTTTAAAACATGACAATAGAGGTATTATTTGTTATATTTGCATTTTAGCTATACGAAAAAGTCAAGCTTTATTGTTTTTCTTAAAATCATAAAACCTATAACAAAAAAAATTGTTCTTTTTGTATATTTTTGTTCAGGCAGGGATGTCAGTGGCCGCAACGGATTAGGCATTGACAGTGTGCTCATCACTGTAAGGTAAAGATCCCAGGTTCAAATCCAGCGGCTCTGCATTTGAACCTGACAAACAGGCACCCTGCCAGCTGATATGGCCCCTGTTGTATTAAAAATAATAATTTAAAAAAAAGCCAAAGGGTAAATGTTTTGTGGTTAATAGCTTTTGGTAGTATGTTAATTTAATCTTATTAAAATAAAGGAAGGGCTGAATAATATGAAAAAACATCTAATTCTTGATTTTTTCGTACCTGTCTCAATAGTGGCATGAATTTTTAAATTGTAAGTTTCCTTCAGGTGATCTGTGTGAACCTGTAATTTTTTTTTGTTACTGATCATTTTGGTCTGCCCCTTGCTGATTTAGTCTGAAAGAACATTTTGGGCCATCTTCAGAGCCCATGTGTCTCACCCTGCTTATACCCCTCTCAACGAACATCCTCTGATCGTCAGGTGGTAAAATTAAATTTCAACCTTTTATCATGTCACAAAAAAATAACTTAACACCGAGAAATTTTAACTGTGAATTGCAAATGATATATAAAGCTATTGTAAATAACTAAAGTATGATCACTTTTAGTCTGCCTTCCTAAAACTCAGTTAAACCTTTTTTTCTTAATTTTCTGAGTGGTCTGAAGGATGATGAATCTGTAATTTGGGCACGACTGATCATTTTGATTCACCATACTTAAAAATGACCTGCCAAATTCTGACAACACAAAACACTGGTTCAAATCAGCTTGGACAACACACAAAACATCACAAAACTCTAGACCACAAGCCCCAAAACTTGTCTGCGCTCACAAAGATGATGCACCATTAAATGCTGTATCCATTTTCAGTAAATATGGAAGCCCAGTAATACTACCTGTAAGTTAGACCATTAAGTTACATTAGAAAATAAATAAGTAAATAAATACACACTAAAGATAGAGAAATACAAGTCAAACAGACCAAAATGATAGGTAACAACTTAATTACCAATTAATTTTATGTTAAAATCCACTGAATTGTGCTTAAAATTAGTGGAGTAATTTTGAAAATATTTTGTCTTCCTAATCATGAGAAATATTTAATAAATAATTTATACAATACATTAAAAAATAATTTCTGAACAGTGTTATTTGCCAATTTTATTTATCAACGGTTATAGTGCTTGTTGATGTTAGTACTGCGCTTAGATCATTTTGTTTATATTTTGAGATGTATTTAGTACTTGCTAGAAGTTTTTCTTTTGATTATTAAGTTTTTGTATTTTATTGAACAGAACGAGTGAAACTGATTTGATATTTTTTAATTTAAAACAGGGGGACTTTTCATATAGTGGTTTAGGAGATAAAGCTCCTAGCACGGATTTTAGCAGTGCCAAGTCAGATGGTGAGTTATCAATTTATTTTATTTATTTTTGAAAATATAAATTTTACATTGTTTTATTTATTTAGTTTCCATTGCTGGATCTATTTCAGAGGCCGAACGAGTAACAATGGTGAGTCTAAATTAATTACTCTTCCATTCTTAATGTTCATGTTGAATTGTCCCATGATCGTTAGCAGCTACGATTTACTTTTCTCATTCACCTCCATAACAGTGGAAACATTTTTATTTTTATACTTTAAGGATTATTAAACTTGATTTTCAATGATATTCATTGAACTAATTTTGTTAACTTTGGGACATATTCATTTTAAAACTAAGAACTTATTCATTTTAAAACTAAGAACTAATTCATTTTAAAACTAAGAACTAATAACATTTTAAGATTAAGAAGTAAGAGTAATCTAAACTTATTGATTATCAAGAGATAATTTTGATCCAATAATCGTTAGCGGCTTTGATTTTCTTTACACAGTCGTCTCCATACCATTGGCAAATAAATTTTACAAATTTTATTTTTGTACTTTCAATTTTGGAAAGTTAATACGATTTGGGACATGTTGAAACAAGGTTTTTTTTGCGCTTGTAAAATAAATTTTTACAAATACTATTTTTATACTTTAAATTTTTGGGAGTTGATATGGTTTGATAACAAAACTGGATCTGGTAGTCATTTAATTATTTATGAATTTGAACCAATGATCGTTAGCGGCTTTGATTTACCTTTCACAGTCGCCTCCATAACATTGGAAAATAAATTTTGCAAATTTTATTTTTATGCTTTCAATTGTTGGAAGTTAATATGATTTGGGACATGTTGAAACAAGGTTTTTTGTGCTTATAAAATAAATTTTTACAAATATTATTTTTATACTTTCTATTTTTGGGAGTTGATGTAGTATGATTACAAAACTGGATCTGGTAGTCATTTAATCATTTGTGAATTTGAACCAATGATCGTTAGCGGCCTTGATTTACCTTTCACAGTCGCCTCCATAACATTGGAAAATAAATTTTACAAATTTTATTTTTATGCTTTCAATTTTTGAAAGTTAATATGATTTGGGACATGTCGAAATAAGGTTTTTTTTTGCGCTTATAAAATAAATTTTTACAAATACTATTTTCATACTTTCTAATTTTGGGAGTTGATATGGTTTGATTACAAAACTGGATCTGGTAGACATTTAATCATTTGTGAATTTGAACCAATGATCGTTAGCGGCTTTGATTGACCTTTCACAGTCGCCTCCATAACATTGGAAAATTAATTTTACAAATTTTATTTTCGTACTTTCAATCTTTCAATTGTTGGAAGTTAATAAGATTTGGGACATGGTAATAATAAAATTAAGTGTTGAAATTAATTAATTGTAAGAATCAATACATTTATAATACAATTGAATTACAGTCATCAATACTTACTATCGGTAAAGATATGATTTGGAACTAATAATCATCTGTTGTTTTGTTTAATCAACCTCTTCCTTTTACTATTATGATATTTTCATTTTTTAATTTATTAGTACTTGTTATGTAACATTATAGTTTGATTTGTTTCCATGATGGGTAGAGACTAAGGTAGAGCGACAGTTTAGTATTGAGTTGCATCTGCGCATGCACACTCATATAATTCTTCATGCTAAAACCAACCAACTAAATTGTCGGTTGATCAAAATTCCGTGTTGTTCAGTGTGTGGTGGGTCTCTTACATCGAACTGAAACCTTTTTGTTGAAAATTATGTTTAACGATTATTTGGAGATCGTGAGATGTGGTCTGGTGATGTAGGTTTAACGATCTCCAAATAATCATTAATTAACGGTTACTAAATGCCACACATTATGTTTAATGTACATATTTCAGAGCGTTGGAGGGGTGTCATACCTAAGAAGGTCTCTGCCGAATATGTGCGGAATTCAGCAGCCAGGGAAAGTCTATCCTTACCATCTTTTGATTACTAGTAACTATAGATTGCCACCTGATGTCGACAGGTGTAATTTAGAGGTAAATTATTTATTTAAATATCCGATTTGCAATGTATACATTTCTGGGCAAACTTTTTCAGAGGCATCTATCGCAAGCAGAATTCGAAACCCTATTTCAGTGCAGCAGGAGTGATTTTTATATGATGCCTTCTTGGAAGAGAAACGATTTGAAAAAGAGAGCCAGGCTGTTTTGAAGAGGAGTTCAAACAGATCTAAGGGATGTAATCGATTGGATGGAATTTCTCTTTTCCCATGTGCTTCTCATACAAGTCTTTAAAGATCATCACACATCACGAAAATTAATGCCGAATGTCCACAACATGCACAAAACCTGTGAAGTAAGCGAGAACGTAAAGGCAAATGGGAAAAACGAAACAGTTCTTCAATTACAGAAGCACAAACGGTCACTGCACTGCCTTAAAGAGAGGTCAAGACGCTTTATATTTTACAAAATGCGTGTGCTAAAAGAGATATGATTTTTTGATAAAATTTAAAATGGCTGTCAAGGTGTGAGAAATGATTTTTCTCCCTGTATTTTCATATTGATCCTCCCCTCTTGAAATCTTCAATTGTGTCAAAACAAAGTCTAATCAAACAAATAGAAAAGAAGAAAAGGTAGTTTAGTTTGATGATAGCAATTTTGAAAATTTTGAATTTCCTTTTAACTCTTACAAACAGAATATATTTAACAAAAAATTGTGGTAGGTTGATGTTTCATGCTTTTTGCTTTTATTAAATGTTTTATATTTTATTTATCTATTCCTTCAGACAGTTAAAGGCCTAGCCCGTGGAATATCACCAAAACGTATAGCCTCGCTGTGGTGCCGGATATTTATTTATGTTATTTAAGTTAGAAGGGTAATTAAAAAAAACCAAAAAAAAAGTATATATATTATATATGGTGCTCTAAAATACCATTGCTTAGAAATATATTCGAGAGCATATTTATTTTTTTCCTATTTGTAGTATAATGTATTATAATATAATATTTATATTTAAAAACTCACCTATTTAAATATCGGCCTTTGGTTTAGTTTTTGGATTTTTGCTTTTTTTTGTTTTTGTTTTGCACAAATTTCATTCTCTCTTATTGAAGGTTTATTTTTCCTCTTCCAACCTTCAGCCACAAAAATCACAATTATTTAATGACAACTTTAATGCTACTTTTACTGATATTATCAGTCTAAATTAATTTTAATCTTAACTGACTTAAAGATTTTGGTTTTTTGCTAAATTTGTGCTGAATTTTTCTTTCTGACAAGAAAAAGAAATCGAATAATATATTGTATATTTATTCATTATTCAAATGTGTTATTACTTTCTACAAACCTGGTTACTGTCAAATTCCCATCCTATATTTACTTTATTATAATTAAAAGTTAAAATTAAGGGGAAAATGATACTTTGTAGCTAAGTGAGGTAAGTTTCATTTTTAAACCTTTATCCTAGCCTTTTATATTCTGCAGCACTTTAATTAATATTCTTGATCCAGTCAATAACATTTTCCTGGTCTTGTCCGGAAACTTATAGCAGCTTGCAATTTTAAATTTATAGTCTTTAAATATAAAGCCGGTCATAAATAATAGTATGATGGCTACGATGAGCAGACTTCATGAATAGTTCTGAAGCATTTCATAAAATGAATATTAAAAGTACTGATACTGATTACAACAAATTAATGCAAGGTGAGTAGCAAGTTTGCTGATAGTGACATTTACTGACTAAGTCCAGCAGTTGAAAGCCAAGATGTTGCAGTAGGATGTTAAATCAGAAAATCACACATTTGAAACAATTGCTGACTGAAGGTGTCTTTTTTACATTTGCGCATGACCTGAATGGCACATCAGATGAGTTGGAATCCGTTAAAAGACGGTTCAGACAGAGCAAGTTCTCCCAGGCTTTAGCCTGATTCTGAGAGACTGGAAGTACCAATAGGATGCCTGGTAGTGGATCTCAGCGCATTACGGTGCTAAGGTAGGACAGAAAGATTGTCAGTGCTGCAAGACGGAACCCTTTCCATAGTGCCTAAATGAAGTAAAAGATGTTTTGGCAAGACCTTTATCAACACAAATGATTTGTAAGTATTGTATTCCTCTTTGAGATGACCAGCAGCAACAGCCCACCACCAGCAACCCAGGAGAATATGGTACATCGAGTGCCTAGAAGAGAACATCAATTGGAGAACTGTTATGTTTACTGATGAGTCCTGTTTCTATATGTAAAGGAGACACTGAAGAGTCTACCGAGAACAGGGGATACGTACAATGTCCCAGTTCGTGCTCCTTTCACGTTTGGAGGAGGCGGTGTAATGGTCCAGGCTGGGATTTACACTGAAGGACCAACTGGACTTAATATTGTTGAAGACGATCTCACCGCAGTCCGTTATGACCAAGAAATGATCGAGCAATATATCCCTCAAACCAGGGATCTCATTGGCAAGGATTTTCAATTAATACAATGCCAGACCTCATAGAGGCAGAGGTTGGAACTCCAAAGTTCGATGACGTAGTCCAAATGAGCCTCAAAATAGATAGTTATACAAATGAGTCGTTTATCTTTTAAGTTTTGGTCGTTTATCCAGCAATCTTTTAAGAAGTCAGAATCGCCCGTTTCCCTCTGGTTTTTGAGTCGCGTGTGAGGGTTCTAGTATTTTATCAATGCATAGCCCACGCTACATTAGCTGGTGGGAGAGGGGTACTTTTGTAGTAGATGGGACCAGTGGTTATTTTCCGAAGGTTGAAACTGACATATTCACATTTTGTATGTTGATTGTCATCTTCCACCGCTTGAACCACTGCTCAAGGGATGCGACATGACTTTGCAAGTTTCTGGTTGAAATGACAGGGTCTTTATGGGAGCAAGGGATGGCGGTATCATCCGCATAGGCAGTAAGGTTCCTGGAAGAGTCTGCGGACCATGTGATGGGTCCTAAGATACTTCATTGTGATACCCTTGTACCTATGCGATATGCGGCTGATAGGTAATTATGACTTGAAGAAAAATGTTAGGAACTTCCGAGAGGAATTGACAATGATTAATGGTGTATGTGAAGCAATAAATTGAATGGGCTTAGGGGCAATTTCTGTTATACCGGTCCTTCCTTCCGATCCGAAAGCTCGATCAACACTCCTGCCCATCCGGTTTGGAATTTCCCCACCCAAACATGGATCTTTTCCGTCCTGTTGTCGGAGGTGTGGTACGTGACAGTTTCTGAAATTTTGAAATATACACTGGCTCAAATGTTTGTGTCTAGAGCCAATTTGAAAGGATTGGAAGAAATTGATGCTAGTGAAATGCTAGAATAACAAATTTAACGCACGTATCATCATGATATTGTAGACAGCATGTTTCTTGATGTTTGAGCATTAACAGCTTGGGAGATCAAAATAGACAGAAAAATGACTGAAATGCTATCATTTCTCTATTGTATTAATTTTGGTAAAGAAACATATCCAAATTCATTGTAAATTTAAGGTATAACCAAACTACCTGAATCCTATCTTAGTTGCATAGTTTAATAGTGAAGATGCACTATTAAAAATGTTTAAAAATTTGTAAATAGGGGGCGAAAAATTGTATTACCTGGTTAATTTCCTGGTAGTTTCTTGAATCACGACCCTTCAAATTGTGATTCATAAGTGAGTATTAAAAGAATGGTGGACATGGTCGGACAGGCACCGCCGCGCAGGCCACATACTCATTTTTTGTTTAACACGAGAAATTCCGGTCAAGACAGTCACGGTCTATGAAAATTTAAAAAGCCGACGTCGGCGAGGTGGTAAATAATTGAAAGGAAACGGTTTGCATGTCAGTCGATCCCTCGGTCCCAAGGATTTTATTTGCCGTTTGAGTACGGACTGGGATGCCGGCTAAATTCCACGAAGAAGTGCTCAGGATAGAGTACTACATCAACGGCCTACCCGTGTAAGTGGCCTTAATAATTTTTAAAGTTTAACAATCAATAAATCGATAGATTAGGAAAGCGACAATAAAATTTTTACACAATCCCTTTTTAAACGAATTTACAAAATATGGACCTTTTCCGTTAATGTGCCTCCGCCCCACTGGACCGCTAAGATTGATTCACTTAAGGAACAAGGAATATTGAAACATTTTATTTTAGGTAATTCCTGTAATAATAATAATTAAGAGTATAAATTGGTAATAAAGGAAATCACATTTGAGTCCCTGGGGGCCAAAATTCAGCTATTTAACTAAGGATATCTTCGAAAACGTCCACATTTATTGCCTAACATGATTGCCACCACCTAGATAGGAGTCCAATAAACTTCGGCGAGTCGCGCACTGTCATTTGTTCTTCGCCTTTGCTTTTCTCCATACACTTTCAATGGAATGCGTATGTGCACGGGTGGTCAGGTCGACAAAATTGAGAGAGTGGTTCACAGTCATTTGGAGGAAACTAGGATCCTGGGATAATGTTTCATATGTCTTCCACTGATCGGAGATGACAGACACAGCAGCGATCCGATCACGAATTGAGAGGCGGCTGATCTGCCCGTAACGGCATCTAGAAAACTTTCTTTCGTTTCACGACAAATGCCACCAAAATTAACTGCTATAGTAAGATTCTCCCGGTGTTGGTTTTCCGGCGCGAGAACTGCGATTCATCAATTTCCACAGTGCAATTGGGGCTACCAATGCTCGGATGTCTGCTTTAGCTTCACTCTCTTTCACAAAATTTAACGCTTACTATCGGGTTGTCCGGAAAATAATGCAGGATTTTAAGTTTTCATTAAAAAAAATCTATATAAAATATTCTGTTTACGTTTACAGGATTACTCATTTGTATGAATGTCAACACTTATTAATCCTCTTCCAAATGATATTGTTTGTTTACCTCTGTAGCATTCCGCTACTTGGAAATAATTCAGTCATCCTTATAATGTCAAAGCGAGAATTTCGTACGATTTTCTTTTACGAGTTTAAACTCGGCCGAAGCGGAGCCCAAACGGCTAGAAACATTAACCAAGTCTGGGGCGAGGGTTGTGTTAATGAGTGCACTGTGCAAAGGTGGTTTAAAAAATTTCGGGAGGGAGATTTCAGCCTTGAAGATGAAGAAGGTCGTGGAAGGCCTTCCTCTCTTAATGATGATGTTCTGCGATCAGTGGTGGAAGAAAACCCCAAAACAACTGTTCGAGAACTTGCAGAGCAACTCAAAGTCAGTAAAACGACCGTCGCTGACCACCTCAAGGCGATTGGAAAAGTGAAAAAACTCGAAAATTGGGTTCCACACTCATTAAACGATCGCCAAAAAAATCAGCGCTTTGATGTTTGTGCATCACTTCTTTGTCGAAACAAAAATGACCCATTTCTGGCCAGAATTGTTACATGTGACGAAAAGTGGATTCTCTACGATAACACTAGACGTTCTGGACAGTGGCTCGACAAAGGAGAAGCTCCAATACATTTTCCAAAACCCCCAACTCATCAAAAAAAGGTAATGGTTACGGTATGGTGGGCTTCATTTGGTTTAATACACTACAGCTTCTTAAATCCTGGCGAAACCATCAATGCTGAATCATACTGTAACCAAATTAATACCATGCATCAGAAATTGGCAGTAATGAAGCCCTCTTTGGTCAATCGGAAAGGGCCCATTTTGTTGCATGACAACGCTCGACCACATGTGTCACGTGTAACGTCACAAAAATTATTGGAGCTTGGCTATGAAACTTTGCCTCACCCACCCTACTCTCCGGACCTCTCGCCTACTGACTACCATTTTTTTAGACACCTGGACCACTACTTACAACACATAATATTCAAAAATCAAACGGAACTGGAAAATGCATTTATTGACTTTATCAATTCTAAAAATTCTGAATTCTACTCAGACGGAATTAATAAGTTA